GTTAAAAAAGTTTCAAAAATCCAATAGATTTCGTTCCACTTCACAATTGTGTCCCACTTGTTGGTGATTCTTCACATAAAATAAAAAATTTATATATTTATGTTTGAAGCCTGAAATGTGGCAAAAGGTTGAAAAGTTCAAGGGGGCCGAATACTTTCGCAAGGCACTGTATATAGAAAAATTCACAGCATTGGGGGTAAGTAAGGCAGCAATTTTGCTTTCATATGAAAATAAAGAATATTATATTCTCACAAACATGAGAATATAACTCACATTTCAAAATGCAGGAAGTGTCAGTCACAAGAGCAAAAACATACTTTGCAGTAAGAACTTTTATTTTAAAAAATATATTTCTTTATAAGCTTGAAAGGCATTAAAGAGCACATAAGAGAAATTTTAGAATAAAACTAGACAATCTTCCGAGAACAGATAAAATCAATCAATGCAAGAAATTGATTTTCACAGCACTAGAAATGTGAACTCTTAATTTCCCCAGGAATAAAGAAAAACATTAAGGGAAACCATTCTCACCAAAAATCTTGTCAATGGAGGAGTTCGAGGGGAGGGTGCAGTTGAAGATGGAGAACTGTCTCTTTAGTCTTTGAGGAATGTCATTGCGACCTCCCCCAGGGTGGATCATGGCAGCCAGAAACTGGATGTCCACTATATTAGTGAACTCCCCAGGCTTCTCCAGGTTATAAAACCCATTTTGTTCCATTACTTGGCGGACAATTTCATTTGTCACCTAAAAAAAACAAAGCAAGTACAATTAAAACACAAGAACTAATTAATGCATAAGAACATTGTACTGGTAGTCCAAAATGAATACCTGATCCCCCCACTCATTGATAACAGGCATGTTGATATCATCAATAAAGATCGACATCTTCTTCCCTGCTGGAGGCCCATAAGTTGTGCCCATTCTCTTGTCTACATAGCTCTCAATAGTACGCTGGAACAACAGAGAGTTTATTTATGCAAGTTAACCGAATAAAATTTAAAAAACGAGCTCTCATCTTGGTATATCAGAAATAATCCAATTAATCTTGCACCCTATTCACTTTTAAACATAATATCTAATGCACATGACTCTTCATTTTATATTTTATGACTCTGTCATTATCATGATTAATTATGGTGCAACACAAAGTAATTTACCAGTAAACCGCAGACAGAAATCAACTTAGTCATTTCTCCTTAAGAGAGGAGTTGTGCTTCAATAAGCAGAAAAGTAACTGGTCAGTAAAGACAAAAATATAATGATTGTGAAACCTTTACTAGTCTTTGTTGCTGTCCAATTTAACATAATTACATAATCTATCCTTTCTAACTGCAATGCAATAGGCAAAGTGATATAATATTTTAAAAAAGAAGACTTAATGGCTTAGTATACCTGGAACATCAGGGGGGTGGTTGCAGAAGAGAAATTAAGACTCTTGGCCATGTGAGACTCCGGATCATACTTTGACATGTATCCCTTAATAATAACAGTTTTAGCTGTACCCTGTTCACCGATCAACAGCACAGCCTAAAAAACACAGGTTTATTTTAAAAAGGTATTAATTTTAAATTATGCAACAATATTAAAGTAGTATTAAAGTAGCTGTTAAAAGTCACCTTAAGGGGCAAAGATCAAATGGTTTGTACCTCTGATCTATTTGGAATTCCTTTTTTAATCACTGTCTTAAACTACAAAGCCAAAGTTTCTAAAAGGATATATACTGTCAACTTGGAATAAATTTAAGAATGTTAGCGTTTCTGCTATTACTATAAAAGCAACATGTTCAAATAAAAAAAAAAGTTACAATTATGGAAACACGTAAATTACACTGGACACACCTTGATATTTTATTTACTTGAATCAGAACAGAGCTTAAATCTAACTGAAGCTCATCTCATCACCAAAGGGAGGATGTTACGAAGCAGAGAAACTACTACATACTGTATATAGTACATAAACTAATGTTAATTATTACTATTATTTTAACCTAGTTAGTCAGCTGTTAAAAAGAAGCTTTGCTTTATTTTTGTAAGTAGCAAAGAGGTAAGCATGGAGAATTCATAAATGATCCAGAAATTATCAATAACAAAATTACTTTCAGTGGCTTATAAAGAAACATTACCACCCTGACAGGGATCAATTTGTCTTTCAAGGAGAGCAGAACACAATGGAGACAATGCCGAAATACAGGAATAATACCTCTATAATCAGTTCTTTACAATTAAACAAAAGAACACATGACTCATTTGATGCAATCATAAGTAATGCCTTCAGTGTAATCTATTGGTTTCATATGATATTATTCCCACAGTAACTGTTAATATACAGTAGATAATAATAGGAAACAGGTGCTCATTAGTTCAAACAGTCACGCACCTTGCCCTGTTTGGCAATTGTCTGGATGAGGAAGTCGGTCCTGACATTGTCCACATTTGGAACGAGAATGGAGCCATACTCTGGAGTGCTGTCAGGGGGATAGATGTACTCCTCAACACGCATGTTCCAGTGGACCCACTGGCCTGTACATAGGAAACCACTCTCAGTGGAATTCATCCGCAGAGCAAAGACTGTTTTTATTTTATTAAGACTATTTTGTAAGTATTTCCTATTAATGAGTGTTTTAAATGCCCTTTTCTATGAAATATTAAACATTGTTTTCATCCAGGAATAGACAATGAACCTCTCTAATGAAGTATTTTTCATTTCCAGAAAGACGCCAAGAGCTAACTTTAATTTGACCAGCGCATTATCATTTATTACAAGACAATTGGCTTATTTCCATTATTAAACTAAATAATAATGCTGCTCAAGCACATTCGGTGTGTCCTAAACGAAATTGCACATTTTTTGCTATTCCTTTGTACCTTTAGAAACAGTTTCGCACCTTCAGAGGTCACATGGTAGTCAAACATGGTGTCCTCGCTGCCCGCCGGGATGCTGGGAAGGTCGAGGCGGATATTCTTGTGGCCCCTGAGCCAGGTCTCCAGCTTCCTCCGGCCCTCCAGCTCCAGCAGAGCCCCGACGCTCCACATGAGGGCAAACACATAGAGACGTCCAAGGTGCTCCCGTGTCACCTCCCCTCCCTGCTCCTGAAACGACCACGCCGTTACACAAGAGGAATGGCAAGAGGTGCCCAAAGTAAGCAGGTTGAAAACATGCGTGGGAACCTCTTAAACACTGTGGTAGTTTGCTTTAACTTACTTTTGCTCCTTAGGATCACAACTAACAGTTCACAGAAAATGAAAATCAAATCCCATAAATCACGATAGATAAGCTGTAAAACCAACAGAAAACATTTTCTAACTCAAAATAAAAGTAAAGGAACAGCGTGTGTAACTTTTAATTGTAGTCATAGCTTTATTGTAGTTCTTTGTCATAGTTGTGAAGGCAGAAGATACAGTACAAACGTTCTCATGAAATTATTTTTATTTGTTCAAAACTACCATGATGTTTGGGCACAAACATACATTTTAAATGTTATTGTATTTTTATGTCACAATGCTCTGCCACTTAGAATGAAGTGAAGGATTACTATCTTCCTGTTAAAATATTTTTTTTTATAATTCTACCTTCAAATAACCATGTGGTTAAAAGGTTAATTTTCTTTGGTTGTGAACATTGAATGCTTTACAGCTTGTGTGGAGCAGCATACTGTCTTGTGTTTTGGCAGGACTGTATTAAGATTAATGTAATCTACTGTACCTTTGGGGGAATAAGGCCCTGAAGCATACTGATGCTCTGCATGATTACAAAGGCCTCCAACATCTCCATCTTGTACTCCAACGATTGCACACTGAATCTGAAGAGTTCTAGGAAAGATGACGAGTATAGCTCCCTCAAAACATTTCCCTCCTGTAGAGACCGTTTTTTCAACCAGCCCTACAAACAAAAAGAAAAAAGTGATGCAGAACTATTTTCTTGAGGTATACTCCTTGGAGGTAATTATGACAGAGTTGTTTGTGTCACTGAGGCTAAAAACACCAGTACTGATGCATTTTATTCTTTTTGCATTGTACAACTATAAGGTATATTGTACCAGATACGGTGGAAAAACTACTATCCTAAATTACTTCCATACCTGGCTGTTGCTGTAGCAGAGGGAAAGAGTGTCACAATAAATATTAGAACCCCAGATAATATCCACATAACTCAAGAACAATTCAGCCAGCAGGAGGACTCTATGGCTCTCAGATCAGCTCAGAGCTGTGGTCAATTACAATAACTGAATAAAAGCTTTGCTTTGGAATAGCAATACAATAACAATAGCATTTATGGAGTTTGAAGAACGTATGTGAAAGAAGCAGGGCAAAGCAGGCATAGGATTTTAATGGTAAAACATAATGACTAGATAACTGGAGACAAAAATGGATATCTGGATATATCTACAATATCCAAATTTTGTCGGAGCTGTTGAATAGTCACACTGAATGAGACAGCTCTCACCTCTAGGATGGGACTCCAGTTGAGAACTGAAGAGCTCATGAAGACCATGCCATTACGAGACACAGTGGCTGGAGAGGCATTGTCAATATTGTGTGGTTCAAAAACAATCTTGCAGTTGGCGGCCATAGGGATACGGTCACCATTAGCCAAGGTAAGGGTTTTGTTGTCATCCAACACCGAGTTGAGATTCTCAATCCAAATAGCATCAACAGGACCATCCAGGACAATCCAGATGTGCTCTCCTGAAGCCCAATCATAAAAATCAGAAGTCTAAAAAGACATTTACTGTTTTTCTACATGAACAAAATCCATGATAAACAGTAAAAGTTCATTTAAGAAAAACATTCTCACCACTTAGAAGTACTATAAAATTGGTTAATCCACTGAATCCACTGAGATTTTTAAATACAAAGTCATGAATTAAGCATATTAGACCAACAAACTAAGTGCAGAGCCTCACTATCGGCATTTACTGCTTAAAATTTGACTTGTCCTTAATGATTGTTTCACCCCAAACTTTAATTACTGGTGTTTTTGCAATCTAAGGACTAGTCTAAATCTAAGTTTTTTTCTTCATATTAAAAATTACTTTTTAACATTACTTTCTACCCTGTAATACTTGAGAAGCTCTAATTTGATACCACACAATAAAACCCCAAAATCCTGGACAGATTAAAAACCAAGCTTTGGTTTTGAACCACTGTAAGAATTTTTTTCTTTTATAAATGTATAAGAAATAGAAGCAGCACAGACCATTATTTTTTAAAAAATAGTAATAAATCCTTCACAATAAGATGTCCTTTAGTTCTATTTTTATACATTGTTTTTCTACTTCCAGATCAAAACACAAAGAAAGTACACAATGTTGTTTCCTTCCATGTGTTTGGAATTCTCTTGAGTTCTCTGGGGATTAAGTGTACTGCTACCAGATAATTGCTATTCTCTGTCAAACTTCTCAAACTCTAACTCTTTTATAAATGTGCCTGGGGCTCTTGGAGCTTCAGCTCACACTATGAGCAGCTGTTGCCATACACAAAGTCATACTTCTTAAGTAATTAGCATCTCTGGAGAGACTGATCAGGGAAGAAGAGGAAGAGTTTTTTTGTAAAGGGGAAGTACTTGAAGAGGCATGATTCATTCCAAAGATTAGTGCACCAAGTTGTGAAATAATTTGAAGGGCATTTAACCCTTTTTCTTGTATTTTATGCACAAATCTTTAACATGCCAATGGGTAGAAAACTGTAATAAAACCACACCACTCTGGTTTGCAATATACATAAACAAAACATATAAAAATACTAAGAAGATGCACAGAGAAACTGTTGTGTTCAGCTGTAGTGGGAGGTCATACTATAAGCATGGCATCCTATAAGCAATGTGCATTCAGCTACAAAAAACACATCTCCATTGCAGGGAAAATCAATTCATAGTCAAGAAATGCATGTATTAAGAAAATCGTTTTTTTCCATATGATGCTGGTCTGAGACATTTCAACTTCCCCATTTCTTTAATTCTGTATCCTAAAATCTTAGGTTCCAAGCACACAGTAATGGTTAGTGCTGTAGGACCCCAACTGAAATGGTTAGTGCTCAAAAGTCCCCAGTGTGGTCTATAGTATTGCATCCTAAAGCAAATTACTTTACTGTGACGGCTCCATTTCACAGAGCCAACACAACAAATGACATGGTCCTCATATGGCCAAACATAGGCAGGTTTCCAGAAACAAAAGCTTAGATTCTGTACTTTTGTAAGTATTAATCTTTTTATCTGAAATAAAAATGTCATTAGTACACAGCAAAAATGACAACATTTCACTTTAATCTCCCAATAGTTATGCTATTCCCTGTAACTGGATACCACAGGGTCTGGGGAAACCCTGCCAAGGACCACTGTTCCCTCAGGTCTGTCAAACCAGGCTGAGCTCAGCAGTAAAGAATTTTTGAGTAAAGAATGTATTTTTTCTCAGGACCAAGCAAAGTGCGAGACTTATCTCTGCTTTAATTCTGTATATTGAAGTCCCACATACAACTTCAACAAACAACCTTGCTCTTCATTAAATACATTTTAAAAAATAATAAAAAACATATAGGTATAAGGGTTAAGAACTTTTTTTTCTTAATAAAGAGTTTCATACCTTTCTTTGCCCTCAGAGTTTTCCTCCATAAAGTGGAGAAGATGCCATCAGTCCAGTCATTAGTGGCTACGTCCAGGCGGCCAAACATCTGAGGCGCAGTGATGGCCTTAGGGTTCATGCGCATCTCCCGGTGAGGCTGGCCGCAATCTGCACACACGAGTGGACTGCTTCGCTCAGCACAACAGGTAGTTTAAGTCATTTCACAGAGGAAGATATTAGCTTTGGGCAGCTTGAATTAATGCTAACAACCGACATTTCAGAAATCAAACTAAAGGCTCAAATCAACGTAATGGGTTCTCAATTTCTTTTCATGAAAGACTGTTTAACAAAATCAATACTAGCTATGTATTAAAAGTCTTAACTTGCTGTCTTTCTTAATGGTTATTAAGACATTTCCTCAGAGCTAAATGATTTTTCCCCTTTTTTACTTCACCACCTTATGGGTTCTTAAATTACAAAGAGCACTTAGTATCCTTCAACACAATTATGCATCACAGGAAAGCTACAAATGTGTGAGACTAATGGGCTTTGGCTGAAGTTCAATTCATTTAATTGAAAGGAACAGTATGTATAGAACTTGGAATAAATTGCATATTCTTATTTAAAGAAACATTTTTTTTCTTTTTATTCACTTTGATTTTTTTTATTTCAATCAAAGTGTCTTTCCTGCTTATACATGAAGGAAGGGAATATTCCAAATTCTTCTGTCAGCACAAATTCTTGATTTCACTCCAGTTGCATAAGTTCCCAGTTTTTCCGATCGGATGTTGACGTGTACACCCCACATAATTGCAATCTGATCTGCTGTGTTTGTCGTTCTAAATGTACTTCTCTGCAGAGGAGACTGACATCTGCTGTATGTGACATTTCAGGAACAACTGAAGGGTTAACCTTGTCATAAACAGCCATTATGCCATGTAGAGAAAATCCCCGTACAGGTTCTAATGCATATGCAACGATCCCTCATCAACACCCATTCATGCCAACCAGTAGAGGTTCTGTGGAGCTGCACTCGGACTATAAAATCTTCCTAAAATACTGCTTGGACTCAGAGCACCACAGGGGGATACGCTTTGTGTGTGTGTATGTCCACTTGGATGTTCATTAGAAAATGGCCCTTAAATTCAAACCTCTGCTGAACTGTGCTGTAGCTCCTCGCACCCTCTAGGACACCGGTGGTGGTCCTTACAGACAACAGAACCAACAGAGACAGAAGATACAAAACCCCGTGGGGTACCTGTCATGGCTCTCATCAAGGTGTGAATGCAGGCGGTTTTCCCAGCCCCGCTCGGTCCCAAGGCCATCATCCCATGTCGGACTCTCTGGGTTTCAAACAGCTGGATGACTTTGAGTTTCCAAGGAGGATGACTAATAAGACCAGCTTCTGCAACCTGAGTAACAAGCATATATATTTTTTATTTTTTACGAAATTCCTAATGGTAAAAAGCCTGCATTTCAATGGATTTCTCAATATACTTTAATTTCTGAATAATTTATGCACTTTTCCTTACTATTTACCAAATTGCCCAGTAAACAATAATTTGAAAGCTAATTGTTATAAAGAACTAGCAATTGATTATTTGCAATAGTACAGCGGTGTAGTATTTTTTCTTATGTGAGTATTTAGGTATACAGCACAAATCCATAGGCATATAGTAGCTTTAATGAATTGATTAATGTACAAATAATTCATAAATTAATTGCCTGTAATATTTTCTTGGAAAGACCTTCTACAAAACAGACCACCCCAGAATAATCCGTTTCTGCAAGGCCAAGCTCTCATTCAACTGCCTTTACTTTCTTTAAATCCTTAATATGAAATACATGGTTCTACCACAACAACTGAGATGTTAAACTAGTATGTTTATGTAAACAATTGCATTAAATTTTATTTTTCCATTTCTATGGTAGGATAATAAATGAAAACTCAGTGTAAATAGTTTTCATTATACACCTCTCGTTAATTTTTATCAATTGTAAAAATGTACTAGTTTAAAAGTGAATTAAAAAAGTATTCGTAAATCAGGTTTGCTACTTGACCAAATAACATTTTAAAGGTTTTCTCATCATCAATACTAACCTGTCTATCAATAGCTGTTTCCAGTTCTGGGTAGCCTGCTTTGTCCAGTTGGATGCCAGGGAATAGATCTTCAATTAGACTCAAAAAGAGAGGCTCATCTTCATCAATCTTTTAAGGATAAGTAGACAAATAAGTGTAGATAAGCACCCTGCATTTTCATAATGTACAGTGGCTTAGTCTGTTTAAACCATTTAAACAACACAATGTCACAGGTAGATTACCCGTCAATGATGTGGATGTTCCTATGAAATTAGTTTATGTACTGTATGTTTTAGCCATTTTGGAAACCGCAGTTTATTGTACAGAAAATGATAATGAACCCAGTGCAATAAGAATTAGGAAAGAGACCAGCAATGCCATAGTGAGCTACAGGCTCCTGTGGAAACTGAGAATTACAACTTATTTTTTCCATGGTAGTTAGGCAATTTAGACTTTAATATTAAATATTAAATTTTAATAACAGATGAGAAATAATACATTATATAATTTATTTCTGGGTAATCCCATGCATGTATTTGATCATATTGGAACAACCATATTGTGTTCAACCTAGGAATTTATTAAAACAATAAGTAATGGGACACATTCACTTCAGGTAAATTTCAGAGTAAATTTGTGGCTGAATATACCTGTGAGGAAATAACTATATGATATCTGTCACACATTGAGCTCACCACACTGTTTATATAATCGTTTGAGATGCTTTGTCAAGCCCGTGCTGCAGCCGGTTTGAGTTCTTTAATTCATACTCGTAGAACACCTTCAACAAGTCATGATTTTCATGAGAAATAAGAGTTCTTAGTGAAAATCCTAGTTTAGACATCACTATCCCGACAATTTTTGGAGGCTACGATATTGACTTTTTTTTTAAAAAGCCTTTTGACTGATTTAAAACTAGGCAGTACTTACTAATTTAGACAAGTTCATATCTCTCAGGACACGCATGACAATCGTAGATTCGGTGTCATTTGGATTTGCTCGTTTTGCTGCCCCCAGCGTACGCAACACAGACAAAATGTTTCGAAGACCAAAATCATAATGCACCTACAAGTGATTACAAAAAGTGAGGAATAAAATTAAACTGCCAAATCAATACAATTTAAACTTATTGCTAAATTTCTACCCATTACAGTTTTATTATGATGTTTCCAGGCAGTATAACAACACTAAATGTTAACATCCTTCTGAAATAAAAAAGGAATTACCTCATCAATAATCTATCAAACGAAGACAAACTGTCCCTCTTACTATCCTGGCTTATACATGCTTATTTTCTACTAATCAGACTAAAAATGTAGGTGATATCAACAGAAATGAAAACCACATTGTAGAATATTTCCATTGAAGAAACAGAATATAATCAATTAATTTATATGTCACCTGCTTTGAGAGCTGCTCTTCACAAAGTTTGTATAAAGTGAAGAACTTCCTGGCCAATTCAATATTGTCAATAAACCCACAGCTCGCCAGCTTGACTCGAATAATGATTTGTCGATCAGGAACCATCATGGCAACAGAGCGGAAATTGATCTTCAAATTCTCAGGAAGCTCTTGACGACCAGCATATCCCGGGTTCTAATAGGTATGATAACAATATAAAAAGTATTAGAGTATTATGTTCAAAGAATAAATTGTTAAAAAATTGCAACAGGCACAATAAAAAGAAAAAAAAGTCACTCCCTGAGGAGTATCAATCTATAGTTTGGTCTCATTAAGTGTCTGTGTGCCAGTTTGGGAAAGATGTGAGTATATTAAACTTGGGCATTGAGTTAAGTGGGGACTGAAATACATTAAATAACAATGAGAGAGCAGCAGAAATGTGAGCAATATAGAGATGGAAAATTAAAGAGTCTTCCACAATGACATGATTTTTCCAGCATTCTACAGTATATACGAGACATTAAATTTTCCTTGTATGGTGAGTTTTAATCATTTTAAGGCCAAAAAGGGAATAACGTTGGCAGCGCTATGATTTAACTCTCTTCAGCTTATCCTAACTGGACATTAAGACACACTAGATCTTCATGCCAGTGCAGTTTCAAATCCACACTCACTCCAAATGTTAACATATCCACTTGTTACACCCCTGAGGGCAGGTCTGCAGTCGCTTGAAGGAAAAAACCTTTAATAATCAAAAAGCTACAATGACGTGGCAGGTTTGCCATTGAGGATCGAAAATTGAGTGAAAGGCAGTTCTGGGGCAGAATTCTGGAGGAGAGTGAGGATGAATTATTGTTTATAATTTTTTAAACAACAATGTAAAATGAATAATCTAACCATGGTAAGGAAAATTCCAAATTCAGGGTTCATTTCAACGTTGTCACCATCTGTGAAAACGAAGTTCTTCTTGCGCTCCTTTTTGCAAGTCAGAACAATGGCAATCTGCTGGGCAGCAACAGACAGAACTGGAAGGTCAATCCGGTTGAATTCATCAAAGCAGCCCCAGGAACCCGACTGAGCAAGTCCTAAAAAAACAGATTCATTATAAAAACAAGAGGAGTAAATATTCACTGCTGGAGTGGTTTATGCCTGTATTCATACTATATTGTATGTTACCTTTTATATCTACTCAGACAGATCTTTCAAAATCCACTGCATTTATTATTAATATTTATCCGATAAGTCATAATTCCATGTATAAATTCTGTTGCCCTTCTTTCTGTGACTTAATTAAAATTGTTTCTATGGATTTCAAAGAGTTTTCATCTTGGCAATTGAAATTACTTTCATGTCTCTCTCCAAAAATGAGAGAGATGAAGATGAGCAGATGGGCGGCTACATTTACTCACACTGCACAGGCCGTGAACAGGCAAATACTTCGGCCCGTGACTGTGGAAAAAGTGATCGCCAAACACTTTGATGACATTATTAAACTTGTGAGAGTTTTATTGCCAGGGTTTTACTGTGTAACATTTAGAAGACCATCCTTACCTTTGAAGATTCTTCCAAGGCCTCTGAAGTCCATCTGGTCAGAGCAGTTGAAAACAACCACATATTTCCCAAGACAGCGGCCCATGTCCTTTGTGGTCTCTGTCTTCCCGGTGCCTGCAGGGCCTGCTGGGGCCCCTCCCATACTCATGCCCAGAGCCTGAGCCAGGGTGATGTAGCACCTGCGGTACAATCATACTCTCCAGACACTGCTGGCTTCTGATGGGCTGAGTCTACTCATAGCCTCTGTGTGATTATGCAGTGTGCAAGTAAAATAGCCCAGTAATTCTTCTATTACAATGTCACAACCACAAGAATACATTAACACAGACCCCGAAATTGGGTTCTACATCTTCAGCTTTCCAAAACAAAGCAAAAGAACTCAATGTCCTGAAACATAGATGGTAGACAGTTAAAAAATATGCAACATATTTTTTTAGAAATGTGTATTTTGAGATTTACAAATTCCACATCAAATATGCTCTGTGGGCTCAATATCCTCAACTAAGAGTTGATATATTAAATTTTTATAAATGGAAATTTGTGTTTCTGATATCTGATACCAGCAGGATATTTCTTGTGGTTTATCAGAGAAAATCTACAAACAGTGTAGGTCACATTCTCAATTAACAGTTATTTCTGTTGAATTCTTTCTCATATAATGCAACAGCTTCAGAAGAAAAATAAGCCTTATTTACTCAGTTTAAGTCCCAGCATGGTTTGAAATGATTACTCTATAATAACAGAGAATGTAACTTTGAACTTATGGAAAGCCAATTTTACAGTCAATACAAGCAATCTACAGATACTTGTATTTAACCTACAAGCAATCTATCACCTACAACCCTTTGGAAACAGTTTGTTATGGCTCACCTTTCGCAGAGCAAAAGCACTGAATCTGTCACTGGAAAATTACCTGTCAGTGAGTGGAGTAATGACCAGTCTGTCAGTACAGCCCAGGAACTCGTTTTGGTAGATAAACCCAACATCCGTGATGTTAATGAGCATCTTGTCAGAGTCTTCATTGAAATAGAAACGGCACTGTTTCAGCCATTCAAAGTCACTGGGGCTTTTGATATGCAATCGACACTACAATAAATTAAAGAAAAAATAATATATCACTTTCAAATCCACTTTTAAAAGACCTAACAAATAAAAGGCCATCTTTAGTTCAAGCATCATGGATGTCAAAATGAATGTTTCCATAATCACAAACACATGGATAACTATGGATTAGCTTTAACGAAAATTGAAGTTATATTTAAATATCTACTTCACAAATGCAAACATATTGCTAGATTATCCAAACACATCCGATATATTCAATATACTATCAAAATTATAGCATACATATATACAAACTCGTCACTTTTAATCACAAATGTAGGGCTTAAAAAAGAAGCACTATACAGTATATGACAATGTACTTCCTTTTATAACAATCTCTTACCATTTTTTATAAAACGTCTTTGCTCAAAAATATCTATTTGCCCTTAATGGCTGGGACTCTACCATAAATGGGCTCAGTATACATAGTAATAGTATGGTTTTGAGACTACCTAGATCAACATTATGAAAGAAAATGTTGTTAAATACAAGTCAATTGAATGTGTCTATACATGACATTATTAAACAATTTCCAGGCACATGATCACAGCAGACAAAATATAATAATGGTCCAGACATGGCACTCTTTTAGAATAAAAACATATATACATTTAACTGCAGCTCCATGGATTTCTGCTCTTATGATTTCAGATTTTTTACAATATGAAGCTGCAAAACAGAAAGACAAATGCACAAACATTTGTCCAAGACTAGCAATTTAGGCAAGAATTTTAAGAATTCTTAAGCGCATAAATACGCACAAATATTATATTAAAAGCAATGGGAGCAGTTAGCTCACTTTGGGGAGTGTTATATTTTGCTCTCAATGTTATCTAACCTTTTGCATTGGACATGGAGAATCAGATCACCTTTGCTGACCCAGGACTCTCAAGCAAGCTTGTTTTGCTAGTTGTACTTACCAGGTCATCAAAGATATCCCTCTGGTGCACGTGTATAGTGATGAGGGTCTCATATTTTATGCGCTCCACTGGACTGAGGTCCTTTGTTGTCATATCAATTAGTGTGTTCAGTAGCTCCAAGAAGGACTGGTTTGTCTTTGTCATGATCTTCCGGTCATATCTAGCATTAGTTAAAGCCTCTTCTGAATCTCTTGTCCAGATCATTTGAATCCCAAGCAAACCAATCTAAATTAACAGACAAGAGATGTCTAAAATATGCATTTTAAGATTTCAGCTTCTAATCTTAATCTCATGACTCTCTTTTCAGGAGCAAAGTGTCATGTTATAATGAGGTAAATAGTGAACATGGGTATCATTTAGAAAACTAATACAGTATTGCAACACACTGCCCTGACAGTTACTATAAATACCTCTAAAGAAAAAAAGTACTACATAATAAAATGCTACAAAAAAACTCATGACAAATTGCATTGAGGTAGAACTTAAAAGCATTAGTGTTATATCGGTTTAAGACTTTCGTTTCAGAATATTTTCCAATTTGCTTAACAAGTAACAAAACTACAACGAAAACATAAAAATGTATCTATTGCTATGAAATATAGCACATAGCCTAAAAAGGCTGACTAAATTTGGCAAACCGAACTGAGAGCTCACCTTACTCTTAATAACTGTGACCTCGGTAAGGGTTTGTCCATTTTTCTACAGTTTGAGATATTTCTTCAAGGGAAGTACTTTTAATAAAATACATATCTTATTCCTTGGAGCAGAGGTTATTTTTTTCCAGAGGCAAATGTTGATTCATTTTAGCATATCATAGTAAAACCAGGACAGTGGAGTCTAATTTGCAACACCTTAATTTTATACTGCAGTCATTTGCAATTGCACATTTATTAGTGAACTTCAGAAGCTCTGTAGTTTAGAACAAGTAGCATGAATAAATGCACCCTCCTCTATCACACTTCTAGAAAAGGTATATAAAGAGATACATTTAAGGATTAGATAAACCTTATGCAAGGATTTATAGTAAATATAGTGCCTATAGTTAAGTGTGGAAGTTACTGAAGCCTCTTGCAACCTTGACCAGAGCTCATTCATCTGTGTCCCAAATCTGTCTCCTATCTAGTTCAAGAGTACAGGATGGGTGTTAGATGGTCTCGTATGTGTAAATTATAATTCCAAGATATATTTTAAAGCTGCAAGGCTATGACTGTTTTAATCCTCTTTCTGTTGCCTTAAATATCTCGCACAGCTTCTTTGAGTCGATTTATCAGGAATGCTGCTAAGATTGGGCTCTCAATAAGCAGGAGTGCCAGATTCATGATACTAACCAGGTCATAAATTATATTTACTAACCTTGTTACAGTAAGCATATCATAACCTTGCTGTTATTATTATTATTAGCTAAATAATTAACCGGCCACTTGTGCATCACATGTCACATGAATCCTCACTTTTGTATTGATTATTTGGCACATTTAATAATTGTTAATAACTAATTGTATCAATAAAACCATATAACGTTTTTATGTTGTCCATTATTGTGTTTGACTGTTTCCTAGTAACCATAAAAGTTCCTTTGAACTATACTGTTCCAACTTCTACTTGTTCCAGTACATTCAAACAACCCCAAATCACTACAATATTTACAAGGTGACTGATCAACAATAAAATAAGGGTTCAATAATTACTTTGCATCACTTAGTTAAATATTTTACATAATAACCATATCTTGAATTATAAACATTTCTTAATTTAGGAATGATTTAATGATGTTATGCCTATTAAAAAATATTGATACCTGAGCTGGGAAATAGTTGAGAAATTCTATGAGCTGAAAACTGGAATCCTGGATACTAACAGCCGCTTGTTTAATTACAAGATGCAAGGATCTCTGGGATTCCTTGAGCAGAGCATTGAGCCATATTTCCACATTGCCCTCGGCCATCACAGGCCTGTCAAGTTCAACCGTTTCTCCCTCCCGGGAACAGATGGCAAGGATTCGGTCATAAACCTTGAAAAGGGACATGAAATAACTGGTTAATTAAGTTCCAGATAGTAACTCAAACCACAGTTGGTTTCCAGTTATATTCTCTACTTGTACCTTAACCACTGTACAATATCAAGATTAGCATTTTCCACATCCATCAGTATCGCTTACCTTATCATGAAATCTAACCGTTTTTATGTTATCAAAGACATTCAACAGATGGGCCTGAATTGTATGAGAATCTGAAGCCTGCCCCAGAATTTCAAGAAGTGCAGGATCAGACACAAAGAAAAACCGGGGGAACAGGAGACGTTTCTTTTCAAGGTAGCTAAACAAGGAGTAAAAAATAAGATATTATTAAGACAACAGAAACAGATAAAGCAAAAAAAAGAATACAATTATTAAAACAGAATAATCTTCAAACAAAAAATTGATAAATTCAACATTAAATTGGATGGTTTTGTATTTACAGTAACAAATACACATGCATAGTAAATTGGTTAGTAATCTAAACTGTTTGAGAATGTCATGGTTTTATCTTACCCTGTGAGAGACTTCTGACAAATCTCTAACTGTTCCAAAAGATGTGGCAGCAGCTGCCCCATAGTTTCATCTCCCACACAGCATTGTACTACATTTGGCATCTCGTGAGCCCGTGTCATTATTTTTACCCATGACTTGTCAATGTTGGAGAACCTTTTCGCCTCCTGCAATCCAAGAAAGGAAATGTTAAGAACCTGGAAGGAGACTCCTAAACTAATTGTGTATAATAAATTGAACTAGAACTCTAGAAATATTTGTCCAGAATTTGAACTTCCAGTTTTTAACAGAGTTTATCATGGATTATCAGTGAACAAAATATTTATTTATTATCCCTTGTTATGTTTACATACCTTAGGAAGTTGCTTTGCTATGTCTCCACCTACAAACACAGCTTCCAAATAAATCCAGAGATTTTGAACTGTCATCCAATTCTCTATTATGTCAGTGGTGTTTGAAAGGTTTTGCACCCATTTCTGAATCTGTGCCTTAAACGGAGTGTTGTATCTGGAGCAGTTGTAGGACAGAAAATGGGTCAGTGCACAATCACAGTTTAACTTACAAAGATCTAAAAATAAGGTTGAAAATTGAAGAGGGAAACTAGTTTCATTAAAGGCATTAGAAGCGCAAAATGAATTTCTGTAGAAATAGGTTTTTACAAAATACACAATGTAAAAATATATCTAAAAGAAAATATTGAATTTGAAAACTATTAGAGAGGAAGTAGTCCTTGAATAATTGATGAATGATTTAAAGGTCACAGCTCAATGTCACTTTTCACAAAATATTTTGTGCTTAAAATGTTAAAAAGCTGAAGAAAAGTTCTTGATCAAAATTCTACCTCTCAAGCCACTCTTCCAGCTCCTCAACAACTATCAATACCTAATGAAAATCTAGAATTCTGATCAAAATGAGTGGATGAGTATTTGTGGAAGAATGGCTGCAGGGATGCTTCTTTTCTAGGACAAATCCTATTAAATACCTGTTACTCATTAATGAGCCTAAAATCATTAAGCTGTCCTCCATGTTAGCAATGATCTCTGATGTACTGTCTCCTCTTAACAGCAGTTCACCACGGGTTTTAAAGTTTGCAAATGTGAAGGTCTTGTTGTCCCACTCTGCTATCACTTGCTTCAACTTCTGTTCAATATCCCGTTCCTTGACAGCACTGATACATATATCCTATACAACATGAAAGGACCCATGAGAGCATGTAAACCACTATAACAAAGCAATATAAAAGTACAGGTCATTTTGGATAGTGTACATCACCATACAGTATTATGGTCTAAACCATCATTCCTACCACAGGCAAAACTAGCCATCCACACTCTCAAGAGTGCTAAATCATTATTCTAATATGGAGCTGAAAAGCAAATTGGTTGAAATTAAATGTAAATAAAATAATTTGTTAATTGACTGTAAATCATGATCATGGCTCTTGATACCATTTTTACTAACCAATAATAAAATGAAACCTGCGTTTTTAGGGGTATTTATACAAGCATTTTGATTTTCACCGAAGTGTTTCTCATTGTGGCCAAAAAGCTCAATGTTTAACTGTCAGTCGAGAGAACATTCTACCAGTGATCTGGTTCAGGTACTCTTTGAAGAACATCAGACTTTTCCATTAACACTGTAAAGTATCCACACATTTGGTGAAAACCAAATACTGCCTTCCAACAGAAGAACTCTTGTTTTCTATCCTCTTCTGAACTTTGTTAAATCAATTACATCGATGCTGTTGAATAAAAGATTTACCTTCTGCTTGTGGCATCAAAGAGACTCATTCCAATACTCAGTAACTTTTCCCTATGCTTTTGTTTTAGATTCTCGTACTGCAGGCTACTGAATTACTAAAAAAAACAATGCCTTGTTAAAATAGCAAAATGAAAGTGATGATTAGTACCTCTATTTCTTCTTTACACTTTAAAAGAGGAGCTTCCATTATATTTCTAAGCTTGAAAGTGTCGCTTTCTACATCAAAGCTGTGCCCTGTTACTTCTGTTATCCTCTTCCAGTGTCGCGCCATCATGGCTTTATTGGCCATTAGTTCCAGCAGGGGGCAGCACTCATTGAAGTCGTCAATGGTCTTCTTGAGATCAAGGAAAGCCTGCCACTCTTTAAGTGCCCGAGGAAGTTTGCGGCACCTTAAATTGGCAACAGGGAGGAAAGGTATACACTGAACTCCTTTGGGTCTTTATGGTTTAGGCATCGTTTCAAAAGCTTTCTATAATCACGTTAGCTGAGGACAGGCAGATCTCTAAACAAACCACTCAAAAGGCTTGTGTTTACGAAGCTTCATGATGATCAGACAGTTTCACATCACAATTAAAGAAAAAAAATGACTTTCTAAATCTTGAATCAAAGGTGTCTGAAATATGAGGTAATGCTCCCTTACCGAGTTTGAAAATCTAAAAGCTCATTATTGATCTTCTCAATGTTGACATCGGACCACAGGATGTCGTAGTAGCCGTTCACAGTGTCAATGACATTGCTGTAAAGGCCATACAGCTTCTGCAGCAGGGTGAGCTGTTTCTTTATCTCCAGCAGCTGGGGGTGCTGGGTCACTGGCAGTCCAAACAGCTCCTCACCCCCAGTGTAGGTGATGTACTTGCGATACAGATTGTCAAAGCGATTCTGTCATGAGGATAATTGAGAAGCCTCAGACAGTTCCCTATCACACTCACTTATTTTACAGACAATTTTACAAAACCCTTTAATATGTTAACCCTTCATATAGGAATTTTGCTTTCAGTAATTTTAAAATACCAAAATATTACGAAAAGCATTTTTTTGTCGTTTTCAAATACATTTTCACAGCGCAGCTAGAATTTAAAGAAAATTCCCTGACCTTTGGGCTTCAATAGTGAAAGGCAGGAATGCATCTCAAAGCAATGCTGTTTTTTTACACACCTGAAACATGATGAGTCTGTCACTGGCATCTTGAGGTGCCAGTCCAACAACCATTGGACCATCCTGTAACATATATTCATCAAAATGGATAGTTACAGTTTTAATGAAATTTCTAGGTGACCCTGAGTGACTCAAAGATAAATGACTAAGAATGCTATTTTACCTTATATATAATCATTTTAACCATTATACATGCAGAAGATTTTAATTTGGCCTCTAGAGTGACGAAAATAAAAAGAATTAAACAAGTTATGCTATTTGAAGTTCCCATCACATACCTTTTCATATTCCTTATAAAAGTGATCACAGTCTTCCACAAAGGTCTGCACATTACTGATGAGCTCTCCTCTAAAGTTGGGTTGTAGAGACACCAGTTCATTTTGTACCTCTGTGCCCCTGACCAACAGCTTTTCCCAGGTGTAGCGTAATGTGTCCACCTTCTCTACCTCTTCTTTTGCTACCAGGAGGTCATACTTATTGAGCATGGCATAAGACTCCTATCGACATCAGCAGACAGAATATGTCAGAGGAATCAAAACCTGGATGTGTCAGTATATATGTCACAAATCAAGCCAATGTGTTGGTAATGAAAACACAAAAAATACAAAGGAATTTTTTTAGGTCAAGTCTGGCAGTATTTTTTTTCTTTTTGAAAACAGGTGAACAAATGGTACATGAAGTACAAATTCTAAATTTAAAATTAAAATGGTGAACAAATATTTCTCCTGCATATAACAGATTACCTGTCCTATCTCTGAAGAAATAATTTGAATTAGGTTAATTTCTATTTCAAGGCACAAAATGAAAAACGTGTGCAATATTCAGCCATTCAATATGTGGTATTGATAAAACCATTTTAAAAAAAGAGATTGGACTCTTACCTCTATAGGACTGACTTGAAAATCAATGGCAATCTGATGCTCTCTTATCTCCTTTAAGGCTGTCATGGCTATTCTGATGTCATCTAAATCCTTTATCTGCCGGTTCAGTTTTTTGCTGGCCTCTTCCACAAAAGTAAAAATGTTATCCATCTCAGACCTGTACTTCCTGTTGCAATGGCGCCCAAAGTCTACCATCCAAGCCTTAGTCTCTGTCGTCAGAGCCAACTTCAGTTCATCTACCACAAAGTAGATAAAATATATACATAAATAAAATTTGCAATAACACACTGTTCCCAGCTTGCAATTCAGTATCAAAAGATATACAACAGTGCACCATGGCCGATATTTGTTTTCAATTGTTATAACTGGGAGTTCATCCTCTTCTATCAAGAGAACAGTCTAGAGACTCGAAGCAACAGCTTCTGGGAACTGGGAACAGCTGTCATGCAACCATTTTGTGTTTCATTTGATCTCTTTATCAGAGAATATTATTAGTTTTCTAAACTGAACCAATGTGAACCTTTTGCCAGGTGTACCGCTACAGCTACTGGATATATATGGATGTATAACAGGTTCTTCACTATGGCTGTCTGCAATCAGTGTAGTTCTCTGCTGAGGAAAAGCCTTCTTACTTTATGACACAATCATCCGAAAGGCGCTTTTCTCCAGATTTAGTGCAACAGAATCTTAATCGTCACACACACACAGTCATTTTGACAAGCAATGGGCACAAGGTGGGAGACCCTGGATGGGACACCCGTCCATCACAGGGCAAACAGACACAAACATCACACACTCACACCAGGGTCAATTCACCCAGATGGGAGATGCCTCTATATCCCCAGGTGTAAAAGTAATAGATTCAGTAAATCTTTCATCTCTATTGCAATATCTCTCTCAAACAATCTCCTGCAACACTATTGTACCAACTTCTCTTTTGATAAAGTTGATTGTCCTTCATTGTTGTACTAGACTGTGCCATAAAAAATCTCCTTGAAGATGATAAAATAGTTTGAATTAAACTGATTTTTTTTTCCAGGAGCCAATCAACCTACCAGCTCGTCTTTGGACTGTAGAAGGAAACCAGAGAACCTGGAGAAAACCCACACAAAGATCAAACAAAACTCCATGAACATGGCAGCCAGAAAATTGAAGACAGGGCCCCAGCGCTGCAAGGCAGCAATGCTACTCTGTGCCGCCCTGCCACCCCGCCACCCCTTGCCTCAAATCTTTAATGTGCATTCAGAATGTGTGTTTGGTCTCTGAGAGTAAAACAGAAACTGTCAGGACCCTTTCACCACTCATAACCCAACCCTGTATTGGAAAACTTAAAAGCTGGCTGTCTGACACTACCTGTGTAAAGGGCTAGGGCTCCAACAGTAACAAACTCAGGCTCGGCATTGATCTCCAGTTCTAAGTCTCTGTAGTACAGAATCTGTGACTCAAACTCTGATAGAAGAGGGCTTCCCATTATGAATTTCTGAATGGTTTCTTCTCTCTCCTTTTGCCAGATGTGGTGATAACAACTGAAGCGTTCCAGTGCTGTCATAACTTCCTGTTAAAAAGAAATGCAGAACTTTTTGAAATGTTGTTGCAAAGTGTAAAGCCTGAATTAAAGTGTCCAAGTATACACAATGCCTTTGAATTATTGTTAATCCCTTATTTTTTTCTGAGTGTAGAATTATTTGTTTTACTTTTTCTAATTTTAGAATGCACACAACTACAATAAGTTAACACTTTGTAAACCATTTTTAGGTTGGTGCTATTAATATCTCATGATATATAGTGATGTATTAATTTATATATATTGTTTATGTATACAGTAGCTACTCTATACAGTTACCTTTTTTGTGGAATTAATGGATGTGCTCAGGACAGAAACCAGTTTAACAATTTCTTTATTTTCAGACACAGTCTTGTAATAGTTCCTGGACTGAAAACAGAATGTGTGGTTCACAGACACTGATATGTCAGATGTACTGCCATCTGGAGAGAGAAACAACATAAGGCATTATTCAGAAAAAATTTATTTAGGTCCATCGTAAAATAAATAAAACAATGTAAAAAAAACTATATCTTGGCTCAGATCAATAGACTTGCAAAAGAAAGTAATTCTTTAAAAATTGTTTGCTCAATTCAATAGAAGTGGTTCAATAAATTATCAGGCAAAAGATTAATTAAGCTCTTTATGGAACAAGAACTTTCATTAGGGTATTCATGAAGGATGATCCATTATTAACACATTAAAGCATAAAAATATTTTTTCTTATCACAGTAGCAAATCTCATGCAAACAGTGCATTTTAATCGACTATGTTGTAATGGCAGATTCATAGCTGTAGAAAATTACTTTCATGATAATAAATATCCTTCTCTGCATGTGTTAAAAATATAAGCTATCAATGTCTTAATACCAGTGGCACTTCTATGTAGGGTGTCCCCCTCCTCAGAGTCGCTGTCTCTGCTGTCACGCCTCAAAGCAGCAATCCTCCTTTCACTCATCTTGTGCTGAACAATAAAAAAAAAGACCTGAGTATGTGTGCAGACAGACACAGACATCATCAAAAGATAAAAATAGAAAACAAGCAAATAGCGGGTAGGGTAGGGTGAGCATGGGAAAAGTCATGCTGTGCAGCAGGAACAGCTGTTCAATTATTTTGTTTAAATTTAGGCATTAATATAAATTCATTATATGCATATAAACAAATAAATCAGGAAGCAAAATGTTCTTATATGTGTATTGTATAAAAGAGCAAGTGCATTATGTTGTGCAGCTGGCAATACCAATAACGTTTAGGTGCTTTCATCGTAATAAGAATAAGAATTCACTCTCAGCCAATCATTACTACACCTGCAGTTCAGATCTCTATTGAACAAATCTATTGTCTGTTTCTCTGACGCCGTTACACAATAAAATACATGTTCTGCAAAGCATGGTTACAGAGAACAAACCATCAGTCCAAATGAAAAGAAGAAAAAAATCTTAGAAGTCCAACCTTGGAAATTCTTTCTTTGCTCCACTGGCCAACCCCCTTGCTGACACTAACAATGTACTCGACCACCCTGTTCAGGGCCTGCTGCACCTCATCCAGTGCGGGGACCATGGTGATGTTTGGGATGGACAAGGTGATGTTTGTTCTGAAGATGGGCTGTCCAGTGCTTTTCTGTTTGTTTGAAGAATCGCCTTCTGCGTTGGAAACAATACAATACAACACACAAGCTTGGTCTCGGTTACTATATCTGATCAGTGAAATCACGATAAGGTTCATATTGAAGGGACTGAATTTCTGACTTTTAAGCTCCAGAACAAATTCCTCCTGTAGTACAACTTTTTACAAGGATATACAGTATGTAATTAAATAACGGTGAAATACAGATGTCCATAAAGCATTCAAGTAGGATATGCTACTTTCTTAACCGCAAAAAATGGTATGCAGAGCAAGAGAAGAACAAGAGCACCAGTATGGATATCTGTGTTCTGCAGAGCATCAGCTTCAGTTGTGTTCTTACCCAGAAAGTGAATGATGGAGGAGATGTGGATGCGCTTGCGGAGAGTCTCCAGTGAGTTGCGGGTGACTCTGAGCAGCGCTTCCACGTTGCGGTGGTTGAAATGGGAGAGCAGCTCATGTGCCTCTTCCTCCAGGATTTCTGCAATGTTTTTCTTCTTTTTCTTTGCCAAAGGAGAGGGGGGACCTGTGCTACCTTGGTTTGTGTTGCGAGAGAAAAGCCTGTTTTCGGATTTCCCATCATCTTCATCTGAATGAAAGAAGAAATAAGAGAATTACTATAGAGCAATTTGCCAGTAATCTAATTATTCATTCTGTGGTTTTCTCTAGGAAACTTCTTGAATCAATAGCTGGGGATATGCACCTTCACTCTCTTCACTGGCAATTTTACTTTCATCTCTGCTTTCATCATTGGGTTTCTCCTCTCTTTCCTTGTTTTGGGGTTCAAAATCCAGAAGCATGTTAATAAGTTCATTGGCTGCTTCTTCTACCAGGGAACTTTTAGTTTGTAACCTCTGAGCACCCTTTATGCACAGCTCCTGAAACAGTCAAAATTGAAAGGAAAGGAAGTCACATCACATTTTTTTCAAAACACAGAAAGAAACTGTTTAACAAGGATACAGTTGCATTGACTATATTAGAGAAAAAAGAGGAATACATTTTACTTGCAAATTGCACAATTACCATTTAAGAAAACTGAAAAATTCTAAAAGTAATTACTTAGAAAGCATCTTCCATTTATTTGCATTACAGTTTGCTGCTTTGGATGGATATAGGGTCATTCACATTTTTTGGCAGTTCCTTATCTTATTTTCTTGAACCATTAGCATTTTACCTTAGTCATCTGGACAAACTCCTCACAAGTGAAGGGTTCATCGTCTGGGAGTTTACACAGCGGTGCTGTGCTCATTTCCTGCAGTACCGCATCAATCCGGAACTCCACCAGATCGTTCACACGGTCCAGCAGCAGCTCCAATTCAGCTATGATTTGACATTTACAAAAGGGAAGGAAAACACAAAAAGCAATGATGCCATTGATGTTTTGATCTGCTAGTGCAATATCATTTGTATATTCTTCGCAAAGACATGACAATAAAACCAATCAAGTCCATCTCCAAGTAAACAGAATGAAAAATAGAACAACTAACACAGTTACAGAATGCTGAAATCCCCTCCCCCATTAATTTGAAGTTAGTATACATTTCTGAAATTATCAGATTCTCATTAAACATCATTAAGCAACTTAAAAGAGTGGAACTTTCATAACTTGTTTCTTACCAAGTGCAGAAATAATTCCATTTAAATATTTTTCAATGTTTAAAGAACTCCAGTTGAGTGAAGTTAAACCTGGCTGGATGGCTTCATCCACTTTAGCTAGATGGGATGCAGCAAGCTGCCTAAAGGCACTGGGCAGTTTGGACCTCACTCTGGTATTCTCCGTAAGAACCATCTGTGAATGAAAAAGGCTACAATCAGCATTCAAATGAGCCTGTCCCAGTTCCAAACTCCAGTTCTAACCTTCTTCACTGAATAAAATATTCCATGCAAACAGTATATCGTAGCATAACAAGAGTTATGGCAGTACCACACTGCTTGTAGGAGCATACACAATGAAGCACATATTGCATAAGTGCCTCAGTGCTACAGGAAGCTACACACGAAAGGGATCTGGGTATTTCTGGAGATTAAGTAAACACTTCTTCACTCAAAGAGCAGAGTTGAATATCTGGGAGAAACATCCCAACCAAATGGTTAAAATGCAAAACACTGGGGAGCTTCACAAAACAACTGGAGGAAACTTTAGTAGCTTTTCCCTTATCTACTAAGCTACCAAATGAGCAAAACGGGCTGGATCCCTCCTTTCATCTGCAGATCTTTCTTATGTTCCTATGGACTGTACAGCCTTTTCACACCTGTAATTTGTTGCAGTTCTTCTTCAAAAGGTCTTGCTTCTGTTGAAGTGCTGCAGCAAATGGTGGAATTTCCAAACCCATTCTGCTCATGCAGTCTGTCTCCCGAATTAAAGTGAGTATCTGAGGGTCAAAGTTGACAAAAAGCTCGCCAGTTTCAGAGGACTTCACCAGCAAAGACGCCTGCAGGCCTGCCTTAGCAGTTTCGATCTGTGCAAAGAGGAATCAGAATTTATCATATGAAAGCTCTTAAATACATTTGCTTAACTGTATTCAAGAGATAAAAGAATTTAGGTATTTAAAGAAAAAATATAATAAAAAATCCTCCTTATGAGGATTACTCAGTCACCTGTCTGAGCCACCCTCTGTGATAGAGGACTTCGAACTCCAGCAGCACCTTGGCCACTTTATTGTAGTTGCGGATGATGCGCTTCGCTTCCGGAGTCTGCAGAACACTGGGATGCTGCTGGAAGAGATCCATGGGCTCCTGTATGCGATGGAACAGCTGACGAGCCCACATGATCCTCCCAGAGACAGGGGGCAGGTCTCGTGCAATGGGGGGCTCATTCTTCTGCTTAGTGTATATCTTGGATGCCATCTCAATGTCACGGCCATAGTTCTGAAGGATTCTCTGGTACTTATCATCAATGCCGAGGTCTGGGATGCCAAGTCTTCAGTGTTATTGCATACCACAAGAAACGGGTTGAAATATATTTAGAAAACAGGACCACATTGCACGTGTAACTATTGAAATAAATATTACAATCACATCTTATCAAGTCAAATATTAAGAGTACACTAAGCTTAGATTAACATTACATGTGCGTGATAAATGAACTAAGTGTTAATGCATTTCAAATATTGTAAACATTGCTGGTATTTAATATTTGTGTAATAAATCAGCTATAACTATTTAAAAAAAGAGGGTGGCAAATATTATTAGCTTCTATTTATTCAGGGTTCTTCATTAACAAAGACATTCAACAAGAACATTTTGGGTTACCTTTCAAATTTTTTCAGCACAATCAAGGCTCTCTGAGTATTCTGTATTTTTTCGAATGAGGTATCCATGAAAGTCTTCAATTGATTCTAGATTGAAAAAATAATACATTTATAGATATGTTTAGGAAAAGAAATAATACTTAAACTAAATAATTAAACTATTTCACTGGAATAAATTCTTGCATTTTTATTTAAATTGATCAACAACATTTAAAATCATGTCTTTAGGAAACGAATAGCAAATAACACCTAAAATGTTTTTGTTTAAACACTGTGTTGCATTGCTTCTAGATCTGCTTAGCACTGAGAAGTAATTTAAATAGTCAAACCTCTGCATTATTGTTAAAAACTACACAGAGAACGATCCTTTGTTGCACCTTAAATAGTTTACTAGTAGGTTACTTACATGAAGATCATTTGTACTCTTGCAAAAGTCAACATAATCCTGGTCAAAATCAGTTTTTCTCTGATCTAAGAAATTGTATTGCTTTTTCTTCATAGTCAATACAATGCCCTGAAACCCAAAAATAAGAACATGTTTTTGGAAAGCAATAATAATAATGAATTCTGGAGGAAATTAATGTGTATTATAAGTTAAGATACCTAAGACACATGCAAAAATATCTCCGTTTGTGAGACAAATATTAAATATGGAGCATCTCTGAAATTGTTTTCAAATATGTTTGCCTAAAATCCTCAGAAGTGACTGTTACGAATGTAAAGGAAGCAGATCTACCAGGCAAAACAATAAACCATTTAACATATACAGTGTGTTTTAATAGTTGCAAAACATAAATCACAGAAGTCAGGTGATCGCTATTGACAATCTGATCTTTTAAAAGAGCTGTTTTGTAATAGTGAGGACATGGAATACCACTGTACCCCAGCATGTAAACTCTTTAAAGAACGGCTACACCTGACACCTTCATAAGGTTCTAATTACTTATTGAACTTTATCAAAACCAAATACATTTTTAAATCTGAAAAGCAAACCCTGCCCTTAACTGAAATTGAAATAATAGAAAAGGCACACAGTGAAAAGGATAGAAAATGCACATTTGTGAAGAACATGCATATCACTCATATATAGAGTATCAAATCTTTCTTTCAGTAAAATTATTTTACAATTTGTATATTATGTCAACTTTAAACACACAAAGAACTGATGAGCAGAAAAAGATCTCTGATGAAGAGCAAAGAAACAAAGTAATGCAGACCACAAAATAATTCCAATGAGTTCCGCCATGTGGTCATCCCAAATGCAGAACACAGTACTTAAATCATGCACCATTTAAAAATAAGGGTAAGAACCAAAACAGGGAAATAAATTACCTCCCATTTTTCCTGCATTTCTGCAGTCTGTGCAGAAAAGGTAATAAAGAAATCAAAACTCTGAAATTACAGCTTTACTACAATAGAATTCAGCCTTAAAATTAGTAACTTGTCATCCTTTCCTGAACTACGCAACCAAATCCACACTAAATCTGCAACACACTGATACATCCAAAAAAGCTGACAGATATACCGATATAGAAAACTGCTTATATAACCCAAAATCCTGCAACTTTCAAGAGGAAAGAAAACGTTTAATAATTTGTGTGTAACATTAAAAAAACACGATGAAAGCAAAACAGGGGCACGTTGTATTTTTTCTAGCCATGATCATTCACTGTTATAAAATATAAACAGTTAGATGATGAAACCAGTATAAAACAACCTAGCACTCAAAGTTATTTGAGCAAACATTTTAACAGCAAAGAGTTGTACCTGGAACTTAGTTGACATAGTTTCTAAGCTTTCCATTTTTGAGTCCTGCAGGGCAGAGTATGTTTTGATGGTGTCAAACATGCCGAGGATTTTGTTGAGGCGGCGCTGAAAGGTGTCAAATTTACCAAAGATGTACATCTCGCTGAAATCAAACTGACGCTCAGAGGGGCTCTCTTCCAGTTTCTGCTTGGTCTTGTGGAAGCAGTGCTGGTACTCCTAACAGGTCAACACCAGAAAACAATTAATAGTATGATATTCACACGTCACAAATATTTGGGATAATCTGGATTGTACCTGCTCTGCTCGTTAGTTATTGAACAGGTTAGTGACTTTACCTGTGAGCACTAAAGGGTGACTGAATTGACACACTAGCTAAGTGCGCTGCTCCTTTCTGCAATGGATTCAATTCATTGCCAGCAGCCATGCCTCTTACCAGGTTAATGACATAAATCTCCTTTCCCATTGGTGAGTCATTCCTACTGCTTGGGGCAGGAGGAGTCACTGCCGTAGAATATGCCACTCTCAATATTTCCATGTCTCAAATATGTGTAAAACCACCAAAGACTATCTTCATATTTTAAATTAAATTCAGGAGTCATAAATATGCATATACAAAATATGAAAAATCGGTAATTAACAGTTATAATTACCTCATTTAACCGAACAGCAGCTTTGAGTTTCTCTGCCATGATTTCTTGAGGCTGGTCCCATATGGTGGCAGTTCCATTTTGTGTAATATAGGCTTTGCATGCGGTTATCATTTGGTTTGTTACCTGCGAGAAAAAAGGGGTCAAATCTCTGCATATCTATTTTAATGAAGGAAGAATGTGATAAAGGTTTTATTTACCTTCACAAACAAAGATGTGATCTTCTCAGAGGTGTTGTAGTAGCGTGAAATACTGTGAATCATACGAATGGCATTAATGAGACCTGGGATGGCCTCAACCATTGAAACCTAAAATAGTTAACATAAAAATAACTGTTAACACGTAGCCCTAAGACACTTATGCAAAGTGATTCTTAGAGGTTAAAAGTCTGTATAATCAGACATGGTGGGTTACATATAGTTTTTTTAATGCTAACATTAAAAATAAAAAAGTTCTCTCACTGGGTCACTGTTGTATAGAGGATCGCAGAATTTCTCCAGAGTGTAGAGATACTTCACATTGTCCTTGGCTTCATTGGCTGAGTCTGTGATGCGAGTATCCAGCTCACGCCAGGTCTAAAATATTTTAACATAACCATAAAAATTCTGTTATTTTTTTACATGAACAGCAACAATACGGTCCGTTTCCCATGAACCAGTCACATACTACACTATTTATTAAATCGGTAACAGTTTTGGCATATGAAACCAATATAAAATAAAGAATAGTTAAACCACTACTACATTTTTCCTCTTACAAAACCTATTAAAACGAGCCCTGCCGTACCTTGAGGAGCTTTGATTTAGCCACAGTGAGCACTCCTAACACTGCCTTGACATCTGGACTCTTCAGCTGGTCTAGCAAGTAGTTGAACCTGGACATGCGTTTCTTCCAGTGGTCCAGCTCTGCCCGCGGCCCAAGGTCATCCGCCTCCTTTCTCAGCTGGTCACTCTCTGCAAGGACCTGAGACCACAGGACAGCCATTAGTCATTTCTAAAGAAAAGGAGGACAAAATCTCTCATGCTGGGCTACGTCTCCCACTTGAGCTCCATATTACCTGTTCTATTTGTTTGATCCACACTTTTATACACGCCTCGATCTTTTCCAGAGCCTCTGTGCTGTTGGCTACAGCAATGAAGTCGGATGGTCCTTTGAGAGTTTTCAAATCGTAAGTCTCACACTCTTTTAGATTCACCTGGAAGGTATGTGGAACATATTATTCTCAGCTGTACTGGTGCTTTTATCGAGAGTGACTTACATTTGTACTCATTTTTACAGCTGTGTATTCAACAGGAACAACTTGGGTGAACTACTTTGCCGAAACACACATCAGCAGCATCTCATCTTTGAAATCCTAAATAAAATTGAATTTAGAAGCCTGCACTTAAATGCAGAAAGGTACAAAAGCTAGTTAAGGGAAACAAATAAGTTTTAGCTCAATGTTATTGCTCAAAGCTCAACACACTTTATCAAGGGCAACTTAAAATTCAAAGTTCAAATTATGGGTTATCACAAATCTGGAAGTGCAAACAAAGTGCTCTGAAAGCAAATTGAAACAGTAAGAACTGGAACAAACCAGGTCATACACAGAGTGATACACAACCTGTTTGCACATGTTCCTTGGTTACAGAAAACAAGTTTGATTCACAAATTGCATCACAAACAGAATACAGGCCTCACAAATTTATTTAGTAAAAATTAAGTTCAGTATTGTATAACTTATTTAAGTATATTTGTGAAGGTCTGCTACATCCATAAAATACTGTACAATAATTACACTATTCCAAAATAGTATACAGTGTCATATTTTGAAATATATCTCTGTATGACTGACAAAAAAGACAATAAATAGGAATGAATGAGTGGGGTTTATTTCTTAATGATACAGAAATTATTGCTTCTCAGTAAAGTTCTCTTACTCAGTGAAGTTTTCTTACTGCCTTCAACGATGGCATAAAACTACCACTTCTTGATAACCTGATTTAGGGAATTTATTTCATTGAGAAATAGGTTTAGTTTTCCTCCACCTTCCAAAACAAAACAGGACTGAGATTAACCAGTTCTGTAGCTGTATATAAATATATTTCAGCTACTTATGCTAATCCAATGACATTACTCTAGTTTCTAAATTCATCCTTTCTAAAGACAGAACTAGAGACCTAGGCTGCTTAAATTCAAACTACTTGAAGTCACCTTTTCCATTAAGCTCTCTTGGGCCCCAATAAGCACAGCCACAAAGCTGTCAAGAGAACTAAGGAAGTCCTGTCTGACAGATGCTGCCTGGGGGCTTGCTAAATCTCCCCAGCCATAATTCATCTTCTTCAGAGTGGGAATAAAGATTTCAGACAGCAGTTGCTCCACACTCTTTAGCAGGCCAACTTCTGTTGTGTCCAGCATGTTGAAGTTCACATCCTACAAATGATAGAAACCCAACATTGCGTTGGCATGTTTAAAACATAACTCAGATAGAACAGTGTATTGGCGTACTTAATGTTTTGCTTAAGGTGATGAGAGGTGATATAGAATCAAAATCCCTGCCTTTTTTTTTTAGAGTGAAAGTCTTGTTTCTATTAACTAAGCAACAGACACACAAATAAAATTAGTCATCAGTCAAAAAGTGCTTTATAAATGATAGCTTTTACTCATACAATCCTTATATTACTGATAAGTCTACAGGTGGAGAACTGTCTTAAATACAAGCTTTTATGCAACAAACGTAACAAAAAACAGTCAAGGACTGGTCTGATGTTTCCCAACTTATACAATTTTATCTGTAACTTTAAGAAAAAAATACTTCAGAGCTAGCTGAAATATTAGACTGGTTAAATTAAATATTGAATATTTTTTCCTGACTTCTTAGGGTTTAGTTTCCGTTACATCACATTCCTTGTGTGCACCTTAAACACTCATGCAGTTTCCCGTAGGTTTTATATTAAAGAATAAAAGCCTCACAATGAAAAAGAATGAAGTCTGAGATGATTAGGAGGTGGCATCCTTACCCTGTGTACATTTTCTGATGTAATGGCTTTGGAAACGTTGGCTCTTGTGAAAAAGACACACACCCCACTTAGTGCCACATCTCTGCCTTCTGTCAGAAACACTTTAGGCTTCTTGTTTTTGCCTACGGATGAACTGGCTGCAGCAGATGTTGATGCTGTACATGTTCAAATTTAAAATGTTTTCATTATTCAAAAACATTGCATCCCTTTCATCCCCCACCCCAACTCTAATCAAAACTTCTATCCTTCCCTAATATCAGTGCCTTACTTTTATTGTTAAATCCAAAATCTCACCCTAATCAAATCCCAGACCAAATTTTTATCAAGTCCAATCTTTGAGTTAACCTCAACATGTAGACTAAAAGTCAATTCCAGATCCCAGATACTTTACATTTATAGTAATAAGTATACCCTTGACCAATTTAAAGCCAATTTGAATTCAATCTTAACCCTATCTCTAATCTTACTCCTAAACCTGATTAAACATTAATTTCACACACAAGACTAGGTCTTACCCTTAGAGTTTTATGCACACCCTAACTGTATTTCATACTCTAATTTCATTCCTAATGCCCAACCCCGACTCTAACCCATGCATTTGAGTCAACTACAATCTTAACCTTTATTCTAACTTACCCTAATTACGTCTTTAACCCTAATCTTTGTTCCAACCTAAAGTAAACCCTACCCCGAGTCCACCTGAGCTATAAACACAACCCATACCTCAAGGCTAACTCTAACAAACTGTAGATACAACAGTAATCTTACTGTAGCTTCAGCCCTTACCCTAAACGTAAGCATAAAATAAATCACAATCCTAATTTATCTCAATCCTAACTAATCCCAGTTCTTTATTTTACCTTCATACAGTCATAACCCTAACACTATTCTTCAAAATAAAAAGGAAAACACCATCACACAATACTGATGTTCTAAAGCAGATGGGGCTATTTTTCTGTAGAACACGCTCCTACAGATAACAGGCTAGATGGGTCAAATGCCCCCATTGCGCTTTTCCAACTACAACCGTTGTAAGTGGGTATACCTACCAGCTTCTGCTGGCTCCACATCTTGATAATAAAACATAATGTGAGGAAGCCCCCCCGCAGCAAAAAAGCGATCCATGCGGTCAATCTGGAAGACAGGGATTTTAATTGATGCAACTCATAAGGCATGAGGCTTTCACACATGAACTATGATTTTATTTTTCAGGAAGAACAACAAGAAAAGAAGAGAAAAGGGAATACTGACCATGGAAACAGATTTTGGAGGGAGGGAAGAGAAACTATCTGACTGCGCTCACACAACGTTTCCTAACCATTCTTTCCACCAGAACAATTATGGAGAATGGGTGTAAGCAACTGTCTGAATGCTGGCAGCCCATTTACATCTCGATGGACTGAGGAATAACAGATAAAATGTGATGTTCTGTGAACTGAACGGATTCACTGCAAGAGTTCTGAATTATTTTTCACTTGTCTAATTTTGGATAAAACCTTTAATGCACTGGACAGAAAGAACTTGGGCAATTATTCAGTCAGTAAAGGGATTGAACATAAGATCCGAACGTCGTTCAGAACATCATTCTCTTTCTCAATACTAAAAAGTGTAAAAAGGGAAAAGCTAGACCCCTATATGCCTTTCAGGAGAGGAGTGATTTTCTCACATAGGAGAACAGAGGACCAGAGAGGTGGATTTCACCTGAGTCCCCTCCAGAATGGCGTCCTCTATGTCTCCTCTCTCCAGGCCCAGGCAGGACGCCACAGTCGCCAGCACGTAGTCATGCCTGCCATCCAGCTGGGCGCGCTTTGCTTCCCGCTCCTCCTTAAGCTTTTGCTACAAGACAAACTCCGAAAATGAGACCCAGGGCAAGCGACTGTTTCGTTATCCAGTGAGAAACTGGGACCCAACTTGCGACACTGCTGGGACCCACGAAAACAAACGAACTCTGTAGTACTACTCGCCTCGAGCATGACCTGATCGACATCCTACCATAACGCAAGAGCACCTCTATGATTTAACAGTGGAATCCTGCACACAATCACAGTATTTTAAGAGCTGAATGGGAACATATCTATATTTTTAAAACAGCCAATTACCTTACTCCATATTGTGAGATCATATTACATCAAACAGTGTAAATTATTGTTCACAACAGTAAATTTAACAAACATTTTTAAAATCAGAGGCTGTGGATCCTTCTTCAGCTGTCACTTGAACTATCTTTTAAAGTCATCTTGTACACCAATGAGTCATTTTAATGTAGAAAATAGAAAATGGCTTTTCAATTGCTAGAAGCAAAACATACTATTTGTAAATTGATTTTAAAAATTAAAGTAGAGGATATACCTATACCCTATAATAACAAAGATATTGTATCCTTCTACACACAATATTTAAATAATGGCACTACTGTTTTGTAGTGTATTCGGTTACATCTACACCTGATTAATGATTTAAGAAGTCTTTTGTAAGTGACTGTACAGTAAAATATATTAAAGATTGTAGCTGTTCCTTGACCTTGAACTGGCAGCAAATCAATGGAGTGCATCAACACTGGTGTATCAGGGTTTTCTTTTGCTCTTGTGTGACTTGGGATAGAATGACTCAGTTGACAAAATCACTTGGCTATTGTCAGGTGAAAAAAGGGTATGCTGTTAATGCCTATTAACATAAACAGCACAGTCTCTGAAAGGACTGAGATCAATGGTAGGGGAACTGAAGGGACTGTCTTTTCAGATCAAGCCGATACTTGCACTTGTACAATATATGATGAATAATGATATATAAAAATTAAAATTTCTTGCATTACGATGGCTTAAATAAAAAGATCACAGTTTTGATTAAATATAATCACGGTATTTTTCTGAAAATGTTCATCCTTAGGCTTGACATAAAAGTGTCAGCACACACTTATGCAAGTTAAACTGCAAAAACTATTATTCAGTTTCTGAAGAAAGTGTTTGCAGATGCCATTTAGAGACAAGCCAGTCCTGCCACTCAAATTCCATTTCTATACAGAATACACCAGTAGTGGTCTTGCATAATACAGTAAAATGCACAATATCTCAAGCAATTGAGCTTTGAATATCAATTTATCACAACTGTGTGCAGCTCATCAGGAATTCTGGAATTAGTCCTGTATATTCGCCAGTAACAAAAGCATGCATGAAAAACAGAAGTAAAATGCACACTCCATGGCATGAACATATGTTTATAGCTATTATTGTAAGAGAGTCATATTATCCTTAATAACATTTAGAGCAAAAAATGAAGAAAATGAGAACGTTCCTTAATCATGTCACATCTCTAGGGCATAGAAAACACAGATGTGGAGGGTGCTCTAGTTTCATTCTATTAACTGCACAATAGACCTATTAAAAAGGCAATCAGCATTATTGTGGTTAATTATTTTATACTCAAATTGGGTTTTCAGGCATTTCACAGGACTATGATTCTGAAGTATGATGTAAAATTTCCAAACTGTCAGCAGTTTATCCTAGATTTCGTTTTTTAAAAACAGGGATAATTAGAGCTAAACTTGGTTTCCTTAAGTGCCCTGAATTGTTACAAAACGATCCACAAAAATGCTTGCATTAACATAGTGTACTTATCATGTGTCTGATTTCAAGGTCAAAAAACATTTACAAATGAAAATGTATATCGTAGGTGAAAACTGGAAAACTACAATAACTGGCCTACCTAAAATCACATTTTATTAGAAAGGCAACTTATTAATTCGAAAATTTTATAACAATAGCTAACTTTAGACAGAACTTTCTTAAAAGGCTGCACTGTTTATACTGGCTTTAAGCTGGTTTACCTAATTGGGATATAATATGGTAATACAGTTCATTTGCACTAATTAATATATACTATGTCAATAAAACCAAACAGATTTTAAACATAAATACACACAATTTCAACTTGCATGTAAACCTAGTCCTCTAATATAAATCCAGCAGACCTTGTGGTTAGGGAACAGTATGGAGGTTATAAATAACACGGTCATGGAAGAACTGATTAATACAAGCCTACCTACATTTATTAAAGAAGAACTACTAACAGCAGGGTGCCTCTCTGCTTGCAGCAGTTGCTTTCTTCTTGTCACCACAATAATCCACAACAAACTCACAGCTTTAATTACACTGGCAGTCCATCATCGACTGCCATTTGCTTTATAAACACCCCACTTCCACAGTGAGATAGCCAGGTTGTGAGCTCTTCACTCTGCTTTCAGCATATTCCAGCATCCTGTCTAACCCAGTCATCTACTGGAGAGGCAGCACAGGCCAGAGCTGACCCCACATTCACCCAATATCAGTGCAGTGCAGGAAAGGTTCATTCGTAGTGTCTGCCATCATGCATACACTAGGTACATCAGCAACACTGAACAAAGGTTTCTCAATTACCATCTCTACTGATATACTGTGATACACAAGCAAATATTCAATCTGCAATTCAGTTACTGAGGGTAAAAAAGAGTCCCTTTCTCACCAAACATTTAACTTGAAAACACTTTTTTTCCAATATTTACTTTTATATTTTCCACTTATTTAGCATCCATTGTTAACAGGCATGTCACTTGATTCATATACATTTCTATTAAGCTAGTCCTAATTAATACTCTGTAACAAAAAAAAACACTTTTTTCTGAATACCCTAAGCAGACTACCAAGTAAGATACAATTAATGGAGATCTGAACATACTTTAAATGCAGTAATTTGACCATTGGTTATCACCGAGAACAGAGGCTGTCCTTTACTCATTGAAGATTTTACATCTTTATGGCCACTGTTTTTCTAAGTGCAAGTGACTGTAAGCAGAGATCAGCATTTACTTTTGGGGAGTCACAACTTCAAACACTGGATGCATCTTCAAGGCTATCGTATGGACAGAATTCAGTCCTACTGCTTTTCAGTAGTTTCCAAAAAGTGTACACCTTCTCCTATTCAGAAAAGGTAGTAATCCTTTGTGTACTCAGTTATGCTATGTTAGTTTTAAAAAAAATGAGACAAAGATGAATGGCCACACTACTGAAAAGCATTGTTTGTCCTGAACAACATCCAGACTTCTCTCTTTACATCTTAAAGGGTTACACCTTGTTGTCTCCTGAACTGTTTTACAGCACATTGATTAACTGGGTGGCAGTAACTATGCAATCTATACACCATCTACCAATACTAATGTAAACACTAACAGGTAGAACAAACACCGTTAAATTAAACCATGGAAAAGACCAGCTGCATCCATTAGCAGTGGGAATTGAGGGCTTCCCCATGAAACAGTAAGGAAACACTGCAGTACGTTTTATCTGCTTTGCTGCTAGGTAACATTGAAAAGGCAAGCTAATAAATTATCACACTTTGTAAAGCACTTTAAAAGCTGAAACAACTTGTCCCTTTATTTTTTTCCCCAGGATTGACGGAATGACGCCTCAAACATCTTAAAATTATTAGCTACAAATACCAAAATGATCACTTTAAAACCTGAAACACATTCTTTGTTCCTACCATGTTACAACAACCAATTTTCTGTTTTTTTGTCTAGCTTCTACAAGGTGTTAAGTAAAGCAGGAATTGAAAGAACTCTGTATTAGAGATGTTTACAGACTCCATTGTGTCATGTAGTTAATACAGTAGGTAGTTTAATTCAAAGCAAGAGATGTTTTATAGAAAAATAAAGGTGTTCTTACGGTGCTTGAATTCTTGATTGGCACTGACCAGAAAACTTGCAGTACTGCAGACATTGAGAAGTGATCTTAGTAATCTCCACAAGAATGGTCTACTTGCTTAAAACCTAAAAGTCTAAGAAGAGGCCAACTAGGAGCTTTTTCATAAAAATATAAATATAAATAAATTAAAGGTCTAATGAGCCCCACAAGTTAATTATTTTGATGGCATAAAACATTTACTTAAAAATGAACAAAAAATGTTTTGTACAAAAATGTTGTGTTGGCTCAGGAATTCTTCTTTAAGACTAAAACATTATTCTTACCTGCGTACAACAAAAGATTTAACAAATCTATTCATTCGGCTTTGAACTCTTACTAGTTTACCAATATTCATAATGGACATTTTGGATGAAGAAAATGAATATTTTCTAAATAAAATTGGATTTTTATAGCATTGTAGAGTTCTTTCATTCTCTTCATTCTATTATTTGTATTAATATTATTATTATTGAGCACATGCTGCTTAATTTTTGATAGTGTAGTTCATCCTAATAGAGTAAATATAGTTCTTACTGTAACTAAAGAACAGCATTTTCAAATAGTCTGAAAAATGTATCCATATTAAGCATCCCGTGGTCACTGAATTAACTGTATTCATCTTTTTCAGTGCGGAAAAATTCTGGCTTGATGTCAGAATCAGTCAACAAGCCTGGACATGAGAAAATTAATAAGCTTATTGACCTGTGTAAAAAACAAGGACCCTGCTTGCTTGTGGTAAATAAATCAATACCAACCAAAGATGTCAAAGGAATGGCTGGAATAAGAAACGAAAACACAATCGGTTGCTGTGAAACAGGTGGACTCTTACTCTTATCACATGATAACTTCAGCCTGGGTCATATTTGTGGAGCAAACTGATAAACAATAGTGTCAGGAAGAGAAACGCTCCCCATCACTGTATCAAGTGAGACCTTGCATCAGCATAATTAAATGCAGAAAAACTTTTCCTTAGTGTAAATAACAAGGGTGAAAAAGGATATTTGTGCTTTTTATCTTGCAGAAAACAAGTAAAGGTAAAAGTTCAAGTACAGTACAAAAAATAAAGTAGATCTATAAAACAAATGAGAGAGAGAAATATTACTAAAAATAAAATATTTTAGG